AGTAAAGAGCTGAGACCACCAGTAAATTGTAATCAGCTTATCTTCTATAGGCAGAAGTTTCTTCCTTGAATACCATTTCTTCCCAGCCATAGCCTAACCCCTATTTGTTTTATATCAATCCCATAGATTTAGAATTGGTATTTCCTACTCAGGTCAATTACTCAGATAAACTTTCAGGTGTATTGAGCACACTTTGCTTGCAATTACACAGAGATTACAAAGAAAGACCATAAATGTGGCCCTTATTTTTCGCAAGTTCCTTGTCTATAATACCTTTCTTAGTGTCATTTCTAGGACTTTCCAACATGAGTGTGGCCACTGCAGAAAATGCCGAAAATTATCCATCGATAATAGAGAGAAAAACTGTTTTGATAGTTTAAATACGCATGTATGCATATATATATTATATTGTGCACATATATTTTATCAAGTCAATACAAAGTATATAAAATTTCCCAGGATTTTCATTAGTAGGCTGGTGCTGGAGTCTCACTCTGACCACATGGCAGATGGTTCTGTGTAGTGCATGAAAAAGAGGACTCCTCAGGGAAGGTAGGAGTATCGCAACTCAGTGGGGCTGACTGTGGCTCATTTGTTCATTGCTTTCAGCTTATTTCAAATTACTGCTTTTTTTTAATGTGTCCAGTTAAACAGATTTATCTGCTATCTAGTTTTAACTAAACTAACCTTCACAAAAAGATGCAATGAGATTCCTGCAAAGAAATTGCAGTTTGAAGATAATACTAATTATGAAAGCATAAGAGAACTTTGAATTCTTTGTCAGCCCCATATGGGGAAAGGCAACAAGGACAATCTAATAAGATCTGTCAAGAAAACAGGCAAAAAATAATTGGAAATTATCAGAAGACTATTTGAAATATGGAACCCACAACTTCTAATGAAAAAGCTAAATAAACCTCTCTCAAAGAGCATGTTGAGTTTTGAAATAATTAGCCAGTGACTGAACATTTTTATAACTTAAAAATGAACAAATATTTATATGTAGGGGGTTGTAAGTTCAAAGACATTGAGAGGGTACACAATCAAAAATGTTTGGAGACCACTGGCTTATTCTTGCTTCTGAAAATATTTTCCATTTATTTCTGATTATCCTAATTGTAGAAAACTTGGAAATGCAAGAAAGCATCAAAAAAAAATAAGAAAAAAAAATCACCCATATTATTACCACCACAAAATAAACATTTGTATCTGCTGAAATGTCTCTTCTATCACAACCAGTTTATATAAAATATCTTTCATAGAGGTAGGCTGAACCTACAGGGAAAACATTACAGAACAACATGTTCCACTGTAGGTCACTTTGGTCTCAGCTATGGTCCTGGTGTTGAACATCTGACTAGCAAACTTAGGATATTTCACTTTAAGTGGGGGCACCCTATCATCTCATTCCAGGTTATAATGTGAGCACCATTATTATTGAGTAAAAAGAGATTGGTGCAGCAACCCATGTGCTATCCTAATGATTACATTAACTGGTTCATCTGGGCTCTCAGTGATACAGCTAAGGAGTCACTCTTAGATGTCTCAAATGCAGGGTAGCAGGCCTCCTCCAGTGTACAGTAATCCCAAGGAATTTGGAGCATGTCTATCAAATGCCTTCCTTTAGGAAAGAAACCACACTGTAGGTCCTATAATCACAGATCCTGCCCTGGCTTATGTCAGCATCGACATGCCTCTCGTTACCACCCTCAGTTTCACAGTCAGAAGCATCTCTACAAGTTTGTTCTTCATCGCACAGTGAGACATAGCTGGTATTTGAATAATCTCATCACCCTCAAAAATAACTTCTGACAATCTGACTTGAAGCAGAACTTTTCCATAGGTTTGGCAGGATTTCCTGTTCTAAGATTAGATGTAGCATACTCCCCAAGCTTTTGGGCCTCCCCCACAAGACAAGGGAACAAGACCCCTTCTAAAATCTGAATGTGATAGTCTACACCAGAGGATATAAAATCCCATCATATTTTTTTTTTTTTTTTTTTTTGCGATTGAGTCTCTTTCTGCTGCCCAGGCTGGAGTACAGTGGTATGATCTCAGCTCACTGCAACCTCTGCCTCCTGGGTTCAAGTGATTCTCCTGCCTCGGCCTCCCAAATAGCTGGGATTACAGGCATGTGCCACCATGCCCGGCTAATTTTTGTACTTTTAATACAGACAGGGTTTCACCATGTTGGCCAGGCTGGTCTCAAACTCCTGACCTCAGGCGATCCACCTGCCTCAGCCTCCCAAAGTGTTGAGATTACAGGCTTGAGCCACCACACCTGGCCATTGTGATTTTTCTCTCCCTTATTTTATGAGGCCTTCACACTCTTGCTCTCCTGCATACCAGGTTGTCCAGTTGTTATCCAGTACTTGGGGCAGGAAGAGGGATTTTTATATAAACAAAGACTGAAGAATGCAAATCCCATAATCTGTTTATTTTTTATTTTTTTCTGAGACAGGGTCTCACTCTGTCACCCAGGTTGGAGTGCAGTGGTATGATCATAGCTCACTGCAACCTCCATCTCCTGGGCTCAAATGATCCTCCCATCTTAGCCTCCCAGGTAGCTGGGACCACGGGTGCTCACAACCACACCCAGCTAATTTTCTGTATTTTTGGTAGAGATGGAGTTTCACCATGTTGCCCAGCATGGTCTTGAGCTCCTGAGTTCGAGTGATCTGCCAGTCTCAGTCTCCCAAAGTGCTGGTATTACAGGCGTGAGCCACCATGCCCGACCCCACAATTTAAGTATCAAATTCCTCTCTTGTAACATTTAAGCCAGATCCAATTTTAATGTATTTGATTTAAACCCACATTTTTAAAAAGGATATTTTCTCCATATGTTTTGGATTGTTTGTTAGGAGCGGAACTGGACTTGCCTAGAATCAGTCCAAGCAAAGACACCCTTATGATGCCCCCAGCTGATGTCAGCAGTGTAGCCAATGCCAAAGCAAAGCTAACTGGTCCGTTGCAGCACCGAACCAGCAACTTTGACTTCCAGGCTATAGCCATCTTTTCAAATAAACTTAATCCAAACCCTCAGATGACTTCCTCTCCCTTAAGCATGTTTTGAAGTAGACCTGGAATGACAGGAGAGTAAATAAGAAGTACAATTGCAAAACCCCGACACCTGCTAACATAATTTCCTCCCTGGATACATTCACTTCCAGAGGGCAAAATGGAGCTGATGGATGATTGCAGGACTGCCTTGAGCTACTTTAATCAACTAAAACTGTATTTATTTCTGTCCATCTCAATCCAAATTACTTAAGAATAATGACCCACATACCCTTTCTTTTTTTTATTACCTTGTTGCCCCACCTTTACAATGTTCACTATATACGCTCTTCACTACATGTCAATATCTTTATTTTTCCACTGGCATTTTTCAAAACACGTTTTGATACTACTTGCCACCTGAAATCCTGAGAGTAGATTCAAAATAAATAAAAAGTATAAATAAATTCACCTAGGTTATGAAATCAATTGGAAGCATAGTTAAGATCTAGATTTAAAGGCTTATCTTCTCCTTTGTTCCAGGACCTGTCCAGAAAGCACCTTTTAGAACATGAAGTCTTTAAGCGAGAAATTACAAGAACTCCCAAGGAGGCAGGGGTAGAGATGTGCTTCTAAGACAGTAAGGGACAGAAAGATGAATACCTTTACAATTGCTTTTCTTTTACATTTCAGATTCTCAACATGAACATTTTTGGATCTGGGATTAAAGCAACAGGGAGCTGTTCCCAAGACAGTCTCTGGCACTGAGTTGGATTAGGATGGGATATTGGAGCTTTCAATATATTAAAAAAAAATAATTTTCCTTCCAAAGCTGTTCCATTGAAGTTTCCACAGATATTATTGGGAAGATCATTCTCCAGAAACCCTAACTCCAGAGAGATGGTTGGAATGGAAAACAAAGTTAAGAAATGGTGGGTGGAAAGTTGGCTTTCCCTCCTACCATACCAGCCAGGAACAAAGAGAAGACATGCCTTTAATTTAACCCTTTGCCAACTCTGAAAAGGAAAAAGTGCCTTATGTTAGATATTCCTTATACCACAGAAATCGTATGGACGTGGCTACATTACTAATTGATATGATAAAGGGGCCATAAATATACCAGAATATGTGATTCCAACCTTCCAAAAATGAAAATAAACTGAGGAGTTTATGAGATGAACCAACAAATGGTCATATCACAGGCTTACTTTCTTAGTAGGTAGAAATCAAATTGCAGATGCAGGTTCCCATTCCTGTGACACCTGGCTTCTTAACTGCTGTGTGATTGAATCTAATGTGTGATATATATTATCAGCTCTAAGGCGGCCACCTAATTTTAATGTCTACCCATTCTTAAAGCTGTGAAATTCAATAACTCTACTCCAATCATCAAACTACCAGCTCATAGTATTTCAGGAACCATAATACCAAGTAAGAGTCTAATGGATAGCAATAAAAAACTTCTTGCCCGGGCACGGTGGCTCATGCCTGTAATCCCAGTACTTTTGGAGACCGAGGCAGGTGGATCACTTGAAGTCAGGAGTTCAAGACCAGCTTGACCAACATGGTGAAACTCCATCTCTACTACAAATACATTAGCCAGGTGTGGTAGCACATGCCTGTAATCCCAGCTATTCAAGAGGATGAGGCAGAAGAATCACTTGAACCTCAGAGGTGGAGGTTGCAGTGAGCTGAGATTGCACCACTGTACTCCAGCCTGGGCAACAAGAGTGAAACTCCATCTCAAAAACTAAACAAAACAAACAAACATTTCTCAACGAAGTAATCTACAGACAGTAAGTAAAACAGAGGGGCTCTGCACAGCATTGGGGATGAGAGGGACTGTAAGGAATATGTCATAATGGACTGGGAGTTCCTTGCATTCTAAAAATGCATGCTGGATGCTCTAATTTCCTTAGGCTACTGCCCTGTCTCTGGGGCAGTGCCCTTGGCCAGGAAGCACTTCTTGGCCCCTCTCCACCTCCCCTCCTGGCCCCCAGTACCTCGATGGTGTACTGCTCAAAGATGCGCAGTTGCAGGAAGATGTCCAGCTTGATCTTCCGCTCATGGAACAGCTCTTCCATCTGCACCTGGGCATCATCAAGCTGCTGCAGGACTGACTCAATGTGGCTGATGGAGCTGGTGTGGGGTGTTTTGTTGTTGGACACAGCCGAGTCCCTGTGGCAGAGTGGGAAGAAAAAAGAGAGGGAGAGGCCTTGCCATATTAAAAGTGACAGAGAAGAAGGTGGACCTTTCTCATCTGAGCAAGGTGGATGTGAATCAGTTGAGTCATTCAATCAACAGACATTTATCAGACTCCTACTGTGAGCCTGTTGCTATCTGCTTAATGGATGAACCAAAGATACATGCATCCTTTTTTTGGGTTCACGAGTCTATTTCCAAGACTAGATTTTTTCCTCAAGCAGAATTGTGAAAGAAAAAAGATGAAAAATGTATGAGAAAAGCTCTACAACACATAAAATATCAGAGAAATGGAATGGTTCCACATATATATGTAGTCTAATATGTATAGTTTCAATACACACACATATACATCTATCAAAATACATACAGATGTATTAAAGGCATATTTTAAACAAATCTTCCTAGTTTTACTTCTCAGACTCTTTGTTAAAACGGATGATGTCATGGTTGTCAAAATTGTAAGCATGCACTTTATAAAGCTATGCTAAAATTATGGGGTTATTCTACTAAACAGGCTCAAGCCATAATTAGGAAAGCATAGGATATGGAGCCTGCAAACCTGAATTAGGTCTCTGCTCTCATACATTTGGCAGGTGGCCCTGAGAAATCACCACTCTGAGCCTCAGCTGCCTTATCTGTCAAGTGGACTTAATAGTAGTGGACTTAACAATTTCTGCCTCCTCATTTCACAGTTTGCTTTTAAATAAGAGTGCACACAACCTAAAAGCAGTAACATGTTGTATGAACAATTATTAATCCTGAAAGGACACAAGAGCAGTGTCAAGTGCTGATCAGGAGAGTAAATGCTAGCTCATAAGAAGCTGGGACAAACAACAAAGGTTGCAAGGAGTTTTGATTTCGGGGTTTGAAGAAATGGATGAACACAGTCAAGTAATAGGAGGGGGTGTGACCTCCTCTGAGCAGAGAGTCTATACACAAGTAGTAGGGAGAGGTGATGCCTTATAGAGGGGAACCAAGAGATAAACAGATTGATTTGCTCAGCAAAATGAGGTGATGGTAACTATAATGGGAAAACAGTGGAAGCTAAGAAGTTTAGATTCCACAGGGCCTTGAGTAAGCTAGAGCCCTAAAACTTGAAATAGGCTGGCACATTCATTATCTTGTGACATCTTAGCTTCTCACACAATTTAAGGAGTCAGAGGACAAGGGCAAAATAATTTATTTCCAATCATCTCATCAGCAGGCTTTCTGAAAGCCATGTCCTTTTAGCCTGTGTTTGTCTCAGAAGCAATGGTATCTGAGCTCATTCTGTCAATGCCCACTAAGCACCATTTACTTATTTTTCTCTCTGACTTGCCTTGATGTCAGAGGGGAGCCTGGGCTAGAGTCAGATTAGTGGCACAATGAATGGTCATCAGTGGCTCTTGGTTATATGCCTATGGCACTCTCTGAAACCCATGGAATTTAATTTTACCGAACAGGCATCACCCACATTGTTGCATTTGCCACTGTCAAGTAGCCTTATGCCCTTAGGCACTGTGCAGGTTTACAGTTGTTAAGAACAAGTGGCATCTCCATAGGCCTAGCCCCACAGAAAGTGAAGCCAGCCAAGCCTGTGAAAAGTATTTGAATAGATGACACAAAGCCATCACAGAACTCTAGAGCTGCCAGAGATCCCGGAGTGAACCCCTTAATGACACAGATGAAGCAGCTGAGGCCCAGAGAAGTTAAATGACTGTCCACTATTTGGAATTTTCTTCAGAAGCAAATGACAGTGGAGTTTCCTAGGGAGGCAGACAAAGCTGTCATGTATTATATATTCATCAAGATGAATTAGGGGAAGAAAGAAAAGAGGCCATCTTGTTAGTATGCAATAGGAGGATTTGGAGCATCTCATATGCATGTTTGGAATAGAAATTATTAATTTCCAACAGAAAAACATGCCAGGGCCTTCTAAAGGTAATTTCTCATTGTTTATTTAATTGGACAACTGGTTTTGGGGGGAAAAAAACCCTCTCCAATTGAAGTAATTCCCTCAGGCCGTAGGGCCGGCCTGGGACTTGCTGATGAGATTATTTCTGTCCAGGGCTGGAAGAGGTCCCAGTACTCAGTGATTTTGGGATAGGAACAAGTCCCTGTGGGCAGGCATCATTAGCACCATCAAATCCTATTTATACAGCACCTGGGCATGGGGTTGGTTGCTGGGGGCTTGCTTTAGGCCTCATGACACTTTATCTAAGGAGCTTGACGGGGGCAGAAAACTAGATATTGAAATGGAAAGGAGTCAATGGCCTGGGTCATTCTAAACAAATGTAAGATTTTTAGACAGGATTTGTCTCCTTAGTTATGTTTGTTTAGGTTGATGCAGAAGGAGTTTTATTTTCTGGGCAGCAAGGAATGGTGAAAGGTTATAATTGGGTAACAGGGAATCGGTAGGACAACACCACACTTTTTCTACGTCTTCATGGGTCCAAAGTCGAACATCAGCAAAATGCTCCAATTTTGCTGACTGAGGCAGTGGAGGTCAGAGTTTAGCCTAAGACCCAACGTCAGCATTATATTCCATAATGTCTATTTCTCTGCATGAGCAAATATGCCCTAATTCTTAATGATTTTTTACTCGTTAATTTTTTTGTCTTTTGTTAATTTTTGTTGTATTTATGTTACTGATTGCTGAATAACATCCTGAATGATAAATAATGCTTTGAAATATTAAAGCCTTTCCACTTAGTATTCATTCTAGACTCAAGTTGGGTATGGTGCAGGCATTTTTACATATTACAGATAAAGAAACTGAAGCTCACACAAGACCACAAAGCAAGATTTTGCAGAGTCAAGACTGGGACAGGACTTATCTCACGTCTAGCCCGAGGCATTTCACACTGGAAAACTCTGCCCATGCTGACCTGGCCTCGCTGGGCTCCCCCAGGGAGGGAGGCGCTGACCTGAGCTGCTGGATAAGGTCTTCGCCTTCCTTGATGACATTGAGCGTGGCATCTAGAGTGGCAGTCTGCTGCTGCTGGAACTGCTTGATCAGTTCCTGGACTGCATCCACAGAGTCTGCACATACATCCTCCAACATCTCCTTCTGAAGATCTTCCATCCATGTCCACAACTGTAGAGAGAAAGCAGAGACTCTACTCAGGGCAGATGGAGAGGCCAGGGCTGGGGTGAGGGCAAGGAAGCTAGACTGGAATCACCCAACTTACTCTCAACCAGTCAGTGCCATTCTCATGAGCACACCTATGGGTCGGTTTGTGTTTTTACATTTATATTCATTACCAATCTTTGCTAAGTTTACTCCACTGGTGTTGGCCTTCCATAATGACAGGAATCACCCCTGGCTTAACTTCCCTGTGGTTCAGGGAAACCTACAGGTGTGGTCTTAGAGCAAGGCGATCAGTTATTTTTGAGACACTTGAAGAATAGGAGACTAGAATGAACGAATATTATTTCATGTTTCAGATAGAAGGAAAGGGAGCAATGTGCTCTGTGCACATTGATTCTTAGAAATGTGTCATGATATTGCAAATACACAAAGAATGCAGTGCTCAATAAAAACTAAATGCACATTAATTGAGCATAATCTGTACATATGCCATACTATTTTGTTCCTTTTAAAATTGCTAGATTGGTTAAAAAGTTGAATGCTAAAGATGTGGCTTAGCACATATACACCATGGAATATTATGCAGCAATCAAAAACGATGAGTTCGTGTCCTTTGTAGGGACATGGATGAACCTGGAGAACATCATTCTCAGCAAACTGACACAAGAACAGAAAATGAAATACTGCATGTTCTCACTCATAGGCAGGTGATGAACAATGAGAACACATGGACACAGGGAGGGGAGCACTACACATTGGGGTCTGTTGAGGGGAATAGGGGAGGGACAGCGGGGGGTGGGGAGTTGGGGAGAGAGAGCATGGGGAGAAATGCCAGATACAGGTGAAGGGGAGGAAGACAGCAAATCACACTGCCACGTGTGTACCTATTCAACTATCTTGCATGTTCTTCACATGTACCCCAAAACCTAAAATAAAAAAACCCTTAAAAAATAAAAAAATAAAGATGTGGCTTATCTTAATTTCAATAAATATGAGACATTTTCCCATGTTATTCAAGATGATAAAATGAAACTAGGTATTACTGGCCAGACAACTTTAAAAGAGTTAAGCATAGTGTTTTGAAAAAAATAAGCACTGGAAATGATGGGGAGTTAAAATGAAATTACTAAAAAATCATTTATTGATAGCTTTTCCTCATCATACTGAATACAGTGGCCTGCCAGAGAGCTTACTTTTGACTGCTTTTATTGAGAATTTTCAGAAATGAGAGAGAGGAAGGTAAGTCTGACACTTGCTTTGAAACCAGGAGTCTTCACCTGACTATCAGGAAAGATAAGCTCAGGGCTCTACCAGGAAAAAAAGCCAGTAAAGAGGGAAAATTGACAGATGGAGTCAGAAGATGCAGATTTTGGCTTCTGTTCCTCCCATTACTCGTGGTGCATTTGCACAAATCACTATACCCTTTGATCTCCATGTGTAAAGTAGGTTGGGGAAAGCATGGAATAAAATGATTAGTTTCCATCTAGTTCTAACATCTTAAAGCCTTCCCTGTTAAAAATGTAGATAAATGTCTACCTCAAGAACATTATTTCATGGAGTTAGTTCTTAGTATAGTAAATTATAGTATGGCCTTTTCAATAAGGGAAGATTAAAAAAAATAAATAGAGACAAAAATAGCCTTCAAGATTTTGGACAAGTTATTCTGTGTTCCTTAGATAAAGAAGCCCTAGATGTGGCAGAAGAGGTTAACAGGAAGATTAATAAGCTTTGGAGGCCATAAATAAAGTATAAAGAATGTCTTTTTTGATGGGGTGCGGCCAGAAAGGAGGCCACCCCCTTAAAAAATATGTCTTTTTTATAAAGGTGAGACTGCCTGAGCCTCAGTTTCCCAATCTACAAAATGGGAAGAAGAAGATTTGCCCTGCTCACTTTGAAGACTGTGAGGGCTGAACTAGTTCCTTATGATTAATGCTTTAAATAAGCATTAATACTTATGGAGTATTAACATAATACTAATTGGAATATTAATAAGCCTATAGCATTTTACTGATTGCTATAGGGAATGCAAATTATTATTTGACATCCCTGACATTTATCAGCTTGCAAATCTGGTTTAATTAGTCCTGTTTATTTCCTTTCCAAATAAAACACCAAACAAGTTTTCCAGGCCATATAAGCTGGGATACGTGTTGCTGTAAGTGTGAATATACTAATTTCAAATCAGCATAAACCAGGAAGTATAGGATATTGGTAATGATAGCTTAATGTCACTGCATATTTTCTGGCAGTAGTTTTGTCTAGAAAGAAAACACATTTTCTAAGTGTACTTAAGTCTTTAGGGAAGAGGTGATGGATTCTCTGAAAAATTACTGTACAGAGAGGCAGTGTAGCATAGTCTTTAAGAGTTTCAGGGGCCGGGCACAGTGGCTCACGCCTGTAATCCCAGCATTTTGGGAGGCCAAGGCGGGCAGATCACCTGAGGTCAGGAGTTAGAGACAAGCCTGGCCAACATGGCAAAAACCCTGTCTCTATTAAAAATATAAAAATTAGCCAGGCCTGGTGCCAGGTGCCTATAATCCCAGCTACTCAAGAAACTGAGGCAGGAGGATTGCCTGAGCCCAGGAGGCAGAGGTTACAGTGAGCCAAGATCTCAGCACTGCACTCCAGCATAGGGGATAGAGCAAGACTCTGTTTCCAAAAAAAGGTTTCAAATCCTAGTTCTACAACATATTAGCTATATAATCTTGAGTAAGTTCCTTATTTTCTCTGCACCTTGGCTTTTCTTATCAGTAAAATGGAGATAATAACAGTGCTTGCCTCCCAGAGAGTTGCCATAAAGATTACAAGTAAATTTATGTGTGTGTGTGTATACAAATAACTTATTTACCTTACTTATCAACAGTTCCTGACGTATAGTCAATGCTGTATCAGTGCTACATATTATTACATTTAAAAGATATTTTTAGCCTAGACAATATGGTAAGATCCAGTCTGTATAGACATTAAAAAACACACACACACACAAAAAGCCGGGCGCGGTGGCTCAAGCCTGTAATCCCAGCACTTTGGGAGGCTGAGGCGGGTGGATCACGAGGTCAAGAGATCGAGACCATCTCGGTCAACATGGTGAAACCCCGTTTCTACTAAAAATACAAAAAATTAGCTGGGCATGGTGGCGCGTGCCTGTAATCCCAGCTACTCAGGAGGCTGAGACAGGAGAATGGCCTGAACCCAGGAGGCAGAGGCTGTGGTGAGCCGAGATCGCGCCATTGCACTCCAGCCTGGGTAACAAGAGCGAAACTCCATCTCAAAAAAAAAACAAAAAAAACCCCACAAAAATTAGATGGGCATGTTGGCACATGCCTGTAGCTCCAGCTCCTTGGGAGGCTGAGGTGGGAGGACTGCTTGTTCCCAGGAGGTCAAGACTGCAGTGAGCTGTGATTGTGCCACTGCACTCCACCTGAGTGACAGAGCAAGACTCTGTCTCAAAAAAAATTTTTTGCTGTAATCCCAACACTTTGGGAGGCCAAGGTGAATGGATCACAAGGTCAGGAGTTCAAAACCAGCCTGGCCAAGATGGCAAATCCTCCACCTTCTCTTAAAAAAAAATACATATATATATATACGTATATATGTTGCAAGTCATCTCCAGTTCCCACTAGAGGGCAGAGGGAAAGTTTGAAGTACTCCTTCATTTTGGAGTTTGTATAAGATCAATATCGAATTTGGTTCTTCAAGCTACTAAGTTGTGTTGGGCTTCTCTTTTCTGTTTTTTGCCACTTTGTCTCAGAATGATTGAGGAAAGCCTAGAAAATGTGCTAAAAGAAAAACAGATGTGAAGAGAGAAAGGTGAAATTGTGGACATGGAGTACACAGTCACTGCCTGGTGGCAGCAACTTTACATTGCAAACTCCTAATTTTGAATAAGCACCTCTGAGGCTTAGCACTGTAAGGTAGATAGAAATAAAAGTTGGTGTGCTAAACCATGAGTAAAGGTCAATAGCCCATTTCTTGGGATGTAATTTTTCTAGCTCTCAGTATCCCATCAGTTTCCTCTGTGTATGTCCCTCTGATTTAGCCCTGAAGAATATGCTTTGAAAAGAGTCCAAATTAGAGGGACACTTCTGCTACTACATTACTGATTATTAAGCAGTCAGTGAGACCCAGCCAGAATGATCTTTTCTGTCAAGCTACTATAAGCCAGTGTTTGCTGGAACTAATTAGGTAGAATCACGGAGTGAGTGTGGTAGCTTGGCAGCAACAACCACATGTATTTTCTTCCCCACTGTCTTCCGTCTTGGTTTCTCTCCTTTGGGTGATCCTCTTTACCCTCTGCTTAACTAAGGTTGAACATGATAGCACTATACATTCTCCATCAACCCACCTCCTCCCCAGAAAGAAAAATCCCATGTTTCATCCATTTCCAGACCCTTTCTTCTTGATCAAAATGTATGTGTACTATGACCCATTCTTTCAGGGTACTGTTCTCTTCTTCGCAATGGTTGCTTACTCCATATTAACATATGCATGTAGATGGTTTCGTGCATTCTTTTTTTCAGAAAACACATGTGGTAGTGGCCAAAAATACCTACATCCAAAAGAATGGATCCAATTTGAGAATTTCTAGAACCTTGACAGGAATAGAGTTATAAAGGAGCTTTTTCATTCTCTATATCAGATTAGCTCTAATAGTGAACCAGTGAGTTCAGGAAGGGCCAGCCCATAGACCCTCTCCTACTTGCATAGTGGGGCAGCCTGAGAAAGGACAACTGAAAACATAGAAAGGAAGGGGACAAAAGAGGAAGAGCTAGGAGGTTTGTAGGAAAAATAATGAGGCTTACAAACCAGTGGTTAAGGGAAGAGGTCATTTTATTTCATCACTTTCTCCTGCTGATTGGCTGTTCCATTTGCATGGCTTGGGCAGCCATTGTCCTGACAAAACTGATTCACAGCAATGGTATCAACAATCTTTAAGGATGTTAAAAGGCACACCATTTCCACAGGATGAATATCCTCCTCCCTCATTTTGAAAAGATAATTTTTCCTTGGCATCAACCACCAGGTTGTTTCTTAAATAAACAGTACAACAGTACAGCAAGTGAAACAGCGGATGAGGCTATTTTGTTCTTAAGGCCATCATCCCTCTTAAAGACCAATTTAGTTTTGGTTCCAGGGTGGGTAGGTAGAGGAGCATGTGTATATGGGAGTGCCTGTGGTGTGTTTGTACCTATTTGAGTAGGAAATGGTGCGGCAGAATGATTCCACAAGGTGAAACAAAGAAGTGGGTATTGAATTAAGCTAATAAAGAGCAGAGGTTGGTTATTTTGCCCACACTTCTTATGTAACTTGACTTATATTTATACTACAAAAACATCCAGAAATGGATATTTTGCAAGCCAAGCGACTGTGGCATTTCCTTGGAAACAGAGCAAGAAAAGAGAATTCTGTGATGACTATTTCTGCAGGGCAGGTGCTACAAATGCCATATTCCTGAACAAAGAGAATGAGGACTTGAGTCAATGCTTCTCCCTACACTTGCCCTAGCCCTCATGGCCCCAGGCAAAAAGAAGGTATTTGAAAATTCAGCACAATTTGTATTAATAGTAGAGGCTCTAAATGTATAAGAAAGTCCCAAGTACATGTTTGTCACCTTTCTTGAGTAATTCATCTCTATAAGTAGGAATGAAAAGTTTTGCTTTTGAAAAATAACATTTATTGGATTGTCCCTGATTATAAATTTAAAATATCATTCAGAAAAACTTGAAAAATGAAAAAGAATTGCCAAAAAGATTAAATCTACAAAAGGGGCTTTTCATAACACTCTTAAATTGTTGGTATATTTCCTTCTAGACCTTATTCTATATGTCTTATTAAAATTGTGGTCATATCGAATGTACACTTTTTATATGTTATACAATAAGCTCTTCCCCATGTCATTAATGATCTTTGGCAATGTGATTTAGGATGACTGTGTAATATTTTGCTATATAAATGCACTATGATTTTAATGATCACCCAATGTGAAATATTTAGATGGTCTCTATTCAAGATGATGACTAACACTGTGATGAAATAGTTAGACATTTTTAACCCTCTAGGCTCCTACAATAAATAAAGAATTCACAAAGCCAATAAGATTAAGCAGACTTGAATTTGCAGAAGAAATGAGCCTGGAGGTTATCTTTTTATATCTTCCTCCTGTTTCCTCTCTGATCTTAATTAGAATAAATCTTTTGATGTGGAAAGCTGGCAAAAGTAAAATTATGAACTTTAGCTGGGGGAGTCATAAAAAGTCTGGGTTAAATCATTTATGAAGGTGGATATTCAGTTCACACCTAGAAATCTACAAAAGGGGCTTTCATTCCATGAAAACTATAGATTATGATGACATTTTGTTACCAACTGGCACCAAGACAAACATTCAGCAAATTTTTATAGGAAGGAAGAAGTAGAGAAAGGAAAGAAAGGAGGAGGAAGATAGCCATAACGAGGCAGAAATGATCTATAACAATATTTATCAGCAATATCCAAGGCCACTTTTGTGAAGCTGCCTTTTCCTTCTAGCCACTCTATTCATGGTAAGAGGGAAAAACAGGCCAGGTGTGGTGGCTCACGCCTGTTATCCAAGCACTTTGGAGGCCAAGACGGGCGGATCACCTGAGGTCAGGAGTTTAAGACTAGCCTGACCAACATGGTGAAACTCCATCTTAAAAAAATAAATAAATAATAAAATAAAAAAGAGGGAAAAACAACCATGGCAACTCAGAATTCCCTAACAGACTACTAATCCTGTCTTGAATAAAAAGCCAGAAGTTTGGCTATAGAGTCAAGAGGAAGGAGTCAAGAGTTAATTGACTCAGGATCAAGTAGGACCCACACTTGGTGATGTTTGAGAGATGATGAATCCTGAGAGGTATTAAAGAAAGGACTGAAAAACCAAACCACAGGAGTTCTTTCATGAGAGCATTCAAGGATGCTCATTTCTGCCTCCTTAATAATCCATTTCTGCCTGCTATTTATAGGCCCTAAAGGAAAGCTCCCATCGGCAAGTTAGATTTCCCACCCAGCCCCCTTTATTTACAATATATGGAGAGCTCAAGTCAAAGAACTGGAGAAGATTAAAATGTGATTGAAAAAAAAAGAGGGCTCTTCCCTCTTTTCTCTTCTTCTTTTTCTTTTCCTTTTCATAGGAAAAGAAGCATCAAAATATTGATTCAGCATCTCTATGTATCAGACACAGTAGTATCTCTATCTACACATCTAATGCCACCTGTGTAGTACACATTTAGCACTTCCAATTTAGTGAAGGAGAGAATCACAGCTCAATGTGACAGTGGCACCAGTGACGGAGGAATGTACAGTGCTCTGCTTTTGTCTGGGTGGAAGTTGGAAGCACCAGGGAAGAATTTCGAGCAAAAGAAATGATGCCTGAGTTGAGTCTTTGTGGCAACGGAGAGAAAAGCACGACCTTTAGAGTCAGAAAGACCTGGGGTCAGTTTCTATGCTTACTACAAACTAGCTATAAAGCCATGGGCAAATTAGTAATTTTTTCGGAACCTTGGTTTTCCCATTTCTAAAACTAGAATTTTTAAAAGTGACAATTATCATGGCTACCAACTAGCCAGCTAGATAGCCTAGCACATAGTTTGTGCTAAATAAATTTCAGCTCCCTCTCTTTCTTCACCTGCCCCCTGTATCACACCACTCCTTGTAGTAGTATTTCACATGAATGTCACTTTCTAGCTGAGTTTCAGTGAGGAAACAAGCCTCAGGTTCAAACAGGACCAAGCTTAGCAAGATTTGAGAGCTATCCGGGAAAACAATAGTCAGTAACTTCATCCCTGACCATTTCTGCCTCCCACACCCCCAAACCTGGCAACACTGTATATTTCTCAGCCAAGATCTGTCCTCCTCATTAAGCCCCTGATTTGGGGTTTATAAATGTAAAAAAGAAAAGTGAAAGAAGGAAGAACAGAAAAGAGGAGACAGTAAAGGATAAAAAGGAGAGCGTAGGTAATAGGAAGACAGGTAAAATCTCTGCTGTACTGCTGAGAGAGGCTGTACCCTTAGACAAGTTGTTTTTTGAGGCTTAGCCTCCCCATTTAAAAATGTTTTTAATAAAATCTATCCCATAAGATTTTATTGGTATAGATAAAATCTATACCAATAAATTTTATCTATTTGATAAAATGATATGTGTGAGATGATATGTGTGTCTGGCAAGTAGTAGGAGTCCAATTAAAAAACTCATGTAATATATTTTGAGTGCTTACAATAAGCCAAATCTTAGGCTAGGTAAATCACCTATACTACTTCAGCTTAATTAATATTATTATTTATTATCAACACAAAGAAGAAGAGAAGAATGGAATCTTGTATTTACATTAGAACCATAAGGGGCCTTAGGGCCACGAAGTCCAACTGCATAATTTTGTAGATAAGGAAACCCTTAACTACAAAAAAGGCCAGGGACATAGTGACTTGTACAAGCTCATATGGTTATTTAGAAGCAGAATCTAGTCTAGAATCCCAGCCTTCTACCTCTGTGTATACAAGGTGGGAGATGTAGCTGGAGCAATTCCTGGAAGCCATGGTCACTCTTTTGGCAGTAGTAGTTCCATGAAAACTGACCTGATCCACCATTTCTCCATGCAGCCAGCACCCCCACAGCCCTCATGAGGAACATGACTCCTGTTCATTCATACTCCATTCTGTCACCCACAGGCTCATAATTAAAAGGGAATACACATGACTTTGGTTTCTGAGACTTTCACTAAGAATTGGGTGAGCCACAAGCAAGCAGACAACCAGGCAGGAAACCCTGGATTAATGCTAATCCCCTTGCTTTATAGATACTCATCAGAGAGTGGCTACAGGTCCCGCAGAGAGGAAGCAAAGCCAGCTTCAGGGAGCTTGCCAGCCCTTCATCTGCCCGGGGAATCTCAGTTTAGAGAACATTATCTTTCCATGTTTTTCTCTGATAGGCATTGCAATGATTCACATTCATTTCCTCGGTGTCAGAAAGGACTGTGAAGCCGTAAAAGCTAAGATTCTTAAGGCATTCCCAATATTAAAATTCAACTTAATTAAGTAGGGCTATTTTTTTTTTTTCCTGAGCAGCAATCAAGCTTTAATTAATACTCTATTAAAGTAAATTCCTTGGGGGAAGGGGGATACAATCATGCATACACCTAATGAGTTCATCTGCCAAGGGTGTTATTATAGATGATGCTAAATATGCCTCCTTGCTGGCCACTTACTCAATTTCAGCATGTCCCCTGTTAATCAGAAATGAAAAGCAATCATAGGTTTGCTACCGTCCTCCTCTCAATGAGGCCCCCCTGCCCTTGCAGCAGCTTAACGTAAGCTATCCTTCCTTCCTCTTTCTTCACTTGGTAAATTATTCAGGTTGGGCTTCAAGCCCAGCCAGCTTCCTTGGTGGAGGGCATCTCTGTCCCCTTTCAATGCCTGTCACTCCACATTCAGGCAGAGTGAGGACCAACTTTAATATCACCCCGCCACAGTGAAAGGAAACAGCAACCAAGAGAAATTAGGTGTGGAGTGGGAAGAGAGTCTCTTACATTTCTTCTTGCGGTGACCATTGCTCTATCAGGGATTCCCACATTTCTCCAGCTGCAGATTGCATGCTCTAGCAGTTGCCCCAAAACCCCTGTCTCCATGACCGCTTTTCCTCACTAGATATTATGGGAGGAAATTTTGCCCCATTCTGAGAGACCTAAATGCAGGTTATCGGGAACAAATTGTTAATATTACCAAAGTTAAGAGGTTAGCAACCCCAAGACTACCCAGGACCCTAGTCAGACCTTCAGGATCATTTTACAAGGAAGCCGACCCGACCCTGGCAGGACCAAATGCCCTCTCTCCACTAGCTCCCCTTACCTCTTTGGTGTGTGTGTGGAAGGAGACAGACATGTCCAGGAGAAGCTTCCGCTGCTCCACCCTGCGCACGAAGTCTTGGATGCGCACCTCCAGGTGTCGAGCTGCCTTGTAGATCTCCTCGGGGTCACATTCCCCGGTCTGAGCCAACTGCTCCGCTGCTTCTAGGAGCTTGTCCGCATTGGTGTACGTATTCTGCCAGCAACAACAGTGAGACAAAGTCAAGTTGCAGTTGCGACTTCCAGCAGCCCACCCCGGGGCTCCCCCGAGCTGAAGCGGAGGGCGTGGGCGCTGAGCCGACAGCTCCCTGATCTGGCACTGAGGCGCGGTACGCGGAGCTGGCACACCGCCTCTCAGCAAGCTAGCAGCCTGCCTGACTGCTCTGCACAGGCGGGCATCAGCTAGGTGCCTCATCCACCCCTGGGATTTCTCAGAGGTACAGTGTCCCTAGAAAGAAGTGGGGAGAACTTGGAGAACCTCCATACCCCAGATGCTCCCTATCCCCTGCTCTCAAGAAAACCCATCACTGCCCTCACATCTCGGGCTGTAACTGCCAGGATCAGAAATAGCACTCCGACAAAGATGGTCTGTATTTCTATGTGAGAACACCAGAAAAACAGTAACTGGGAGACTCGCTTTGCTTTTTCCCTCAAGTTCCCTGTAACTACTGGTGTTTATCTTTTTGGAACAGAGCAATTTCTTTGGAGGGGAAGGGATCAGCAACTCTAGGGAGCTGACAGAAGGCAGCCGCCACAGCCAGAGGGAGGAGATGCAGACAACTCCCAGTGGGCACAGGGAATGTTTGTAGGAAGGTTGGGGAGGAATCTAGTGATTTTGTTCATCATAAGCTACTGCACACACACATACGCACACATAATCGTTCAACCCCCTATCTGTACACATCATAGTATTCTCCAAAGCATTTTAAAAGGCAACTAACTTGTAATTATTATTCATTAGGATGGGAGCCACTGTCTTTAGAATAGTTACTACATTATATGCCACAGATACAGCTTTTCCTCAGCAGGCTTCTCATTTTGGAAGTCTCCTGATATGTCCTGACTTAGATCTGGTGACTCAGGTGTGCTATATTACTTAGTATCCCTAGAGTTGGCACAGAACTCTAGAGTGGCGAACAAGTAGAGCAGTCAATACCAAACACAAAGTGAGTGGATATTGAAATGGATTCATGAGCAATGACTGTCTGGTGCTTTGTTTGCTTGTCTGTAAGGAGTGTTTTAGACTCATTTGAAGACCTGGGTGTTATGGACTGACTTGTGCACCCCATTCATATTCACATGTTGAACTCCTAACCCCCAATATCTCAGAATGTGAACTTCCTTGGAAACAGGATAATCGTAGATGTAATAAGTTCCATTAAGTTCAAGTCATAGTACAGTAGAATAGATCCCTAAGCCAATATGACTGGTGTCCTTATTTTAAAAAACAAAACGCCATGTGAAGAGACAGATATTCACACAGGGAGAATGCCATATGAAGATGAATGAAGAGATTGGGAGATGCATCTACAAGGCTAAGAATGCTAAAGACTGCCAGAAAACTACCAGAAGTTGGAAAAAGGCACAGAGCAGTTTTCTCTCTCATATTCCTAAGAAAGAACTAACTCTACTGACACTTTGATCTCAGATGTCTAGCTTCCAGAACTGTGAGAAAACAAATTGCTGTTATCTAAGTCACAGTCTCATGGTACTTTGTTACGACAGCCCTAGGAAACTGACACTCTAGGGTTGAAACTTTCAGAGGCTGTGGAGCCAGCCTCTTGATTGTACTGGCATAGGACCTGAGGAAGATGGGCAGGCAAACACTTGTCTTGGCTTCTAGGAATTTGTAGAGAGGCCCCAGGGGATCCATAAGGAATGCTGCTTGAAAAGCAACTTCCCAAGGCAAACATTGTTCCAATGCTGGTGAGACTGAGTTGAAAAAGTCATCTGCATTGTCCCAATGCTTGAAAGACAGGATTGAAAAACGAAAATCATTTCACCCCAACTTGGAAATTCATGTAAAAACAGCAGCTTCATATAAGGAAATGAGTTTTGCCACTGGGTTAAAGCAAGATATGTCAATTCTGGAGAGCAGATGAAGGAAGTCATGACAGAAATGCAGGGAGACATGGGGGATGACAGGCAAGGGGAGACCTCTAGGGCTGGGGGTCAGGTGAAAGAAAGCTCTTATGGGACTGCCTGCGATTTCTAGTATATACACCCACAGCTGATGGGAGAAAGATATTTTAGGAATCCCTCAAATTGTCCACCTTAAATTCTAGAGAATCTCAGGATTCCCCCACCAAAAGCCCCAGAGATTGTAAATTTATATTCTGTAGACAATAAAATTTGTGGCAAAGCCAAAGTGAGCTTGCTTGCAAATTAGGTTTGGGTCCAATAAGAAATAAGTAAAAAGCCCAACTGAAGTGTCTGCTACATGTAAGGTGATCAATTTGTCTAGTTTGCCCAGGACTTTCCTGGTTTTAGCATAGAAATTCCTGTCTCCCAGAAATCTCAGTCCTGGGAAAACTGGGATGGCTGATCACCATAATACATATCCAATACTGTTAAGTACCCCAAAAGTACAGATATATATATATATAATGTATTTTGTCTCAAAGAAAAATAAAATCATTCTTGAGAGAAAGAACATGACAATACATAAGCTGGGGCAAGCAACAAACTAGCAGATAATTAGGGGTTAAAATTTCTCAATATGATATAGATGCTGAAAAAAAGGAGTAAAAACTGAGAATAATGGTAGCTAATAATTATTAAATATTTTCCACATGAAAGGATTGTTCTAAAGGATATTATGCATATCATCTCCTTTAATCCTCACAATAACCCTATGAAGTTGGTGCAGACATCATACCCATTTTACAGATGAAGAAACTGAGGAACAAAGAACTTCTGGCCAAAGTCACATGGCTAGTAAGTGACAGAACCAAGATTAAAACCCTGTTGGCAGGCTTCAGAGGCCAAGCAACAACCCATTAAACACCCTGCCTCTATACAAAATACAAGCAGGAGCCTGAGGATGGGTAGGATTTAGCAGAGAAGGAGAAGGGCTTTCCACAGCCAAGCCTGTCTTCTTTTTGCACCCAGGTACTCTGTATTTATTCCACCACACAGCCATAACCATACTTTATAGTAACAATGTGTCTCCATGGTACCTCCACACTGGTCTGTGAGCTCCTTAAAGGCAGGTTCTGTGTCTCATTCCTTGGTCCCCCAGGCCAAGCACTGTGGATGGTATGTAATAGGCATTTACTAAGAGTTTGCTGAATAGACAAGACAAAAATGAGTAGACCTGTTTGAATAAGTTGAGTCAACCTGACTACAATTGGAGAGTGGCAGGAAATCAGGTTGGATAAGTCAGTGAAGAGCTATGGAACAATAAAGACACGTGGAAAGGCAATAGGGTCAGTGTTAGAGCTGGGCTTCCAGCTCTGTCTCTGCTCAGCTGTCTTCCCCATTACTAGTAGAAAGAGCTTCTAAAATTCAGATCCGGTCACAACTGTCTTCTTAAAACTGTTCAGTGGCTTCCCACTGCCTTTGAGGTAAAATGTCTTGGCATGGTATATCAAGCCCTTCTTCATCTGACACTTATTTTTTCCCTGCAGCTTTAACTCACATCACTTCCCCACAAACAGCCTACGAAGTAAATTACTTGCATTCCCCAAAACACTGCACTGAATCTTGCCTCTGTGCCTGAGATGCCCTTCCTTTCAAACTTCTATTTACTCTTTAAGACACAGCTAGCACACTGCTTCTTCCAGGAAGTCCACCCTCATATCCTCTTCTCTCCCAAGGCTAGCTCATATACCCTCCTCTGGGCTGCTAGATTGATCTGTACCAACCCTCTCCATGGTACCTCCCACTTTCTAGTGTAAATGTTTGCCTCTGTTATCTGCTTAGGGGCAGATAATGTCTTTCATCTCTTTCCCTTAGTGCCTGACACCTAGTAAGTACTCCATAAATATTCAGTAAATAAATGAATTAAAGAATATACCAACCTCCACCCATCTTAATATTCAACTTGCTCCTCATCAACTACCTGGTACAAGACCTTTCATCCTAGAATTCATGTTCAATTTTCAATTTTATTTGGCATATCTTACCTACTGGCACAACCTTGAATTGGTATATCCTACCTTCTGGAACAGCCTTAAAATAGAAATGTGTATGGAGAATATCAACTAATGTATTACCAAAGCAATACTTTGGCTCCTGTCAATGCCCCCAAAATGGGGCAATGATCACAACAGGCTTCTGTTCACTTTCTGACCAAATCAACAACAGCTTTTGACCTAGGGCCAGAGTCTGACCTTGCTCTGAACATAGTTTCTAGACATTCTTTGGTTTCCCAGCCTCCTAATCTCTGCCTTGGACTTGACCCCTTATTGACATTTCTCAATGGATATGTAAAAAATGGGTTATGAGTGCTGGGGTATAGATGCCTCAGCTGTTGGAGCTTTCAGGTAGGACCTATGGTAGACAGAGCCCGTGATTCAGAGATAAAGGCCACACTGATGGCTGTGGTTCCTGTTCTTCCCTCTCCAACACCCCATGACTGTGCCAACCAGGTATGATGCCCTAGATAATTCAGTCCTTAAGTCTAACTTCAAATGCTCTATTGAAGCCTTGGCCCATTAATTTTAGCTTTTCTCCCCAGGGAAGAAACAGAACATTCTAGGATAATTTGTCTCTAAATATACAGGAATTCCAGCAATACAAGGTATGTTTTCAGATTCTCTAGGCTGAAGCAGAGAAGGAGGAAGCAAGCTTTTTAAAGGCAAGGAGTGGGAGAGTGGCTTCCCACTGCCTTTGGAAACACTCAAGTGTCAGGTCTCCATATGCAAGCCTGGAGCCTGAAAGTCTGATGTCCTGCTTGCCTTGGCTAATAGTCTCCCACCCCCATCCCCGCCAGTATGGACCATTGTCCCTAATCGCCTAGTGGAGCTTCCCCAGACAAGCCCCTCACCCCACCCTGCCATCTTAACTGTTATTATGATAATAGTCTTATCCCACCTGCCATTGTAACTGAACTTATGGTAATGTATACTCCTTCCCCCTAGCCCCACCACTGTAACTGATCTTACTCTGTAACTTTCCACTGCCCACCCCAAACCTATAAAACCAACTCCTATCCCACTGCCCTTTGCTAATGCCCTTTTCTGCCCTAGACCA